TTAATTCAAAATTTTGGATTAAATATTCAAAATACAAAAAAAAAAAAAAAAAAGCAGATCTTTTTTGTAGGAAATTATATTTTCTATAGATAAGGTCCTTTGATTTTTCCGTATCTTCAATATTACAAGCCCATACTGTATCGACTTAACAAAGTTGACAAATTGCAAACATTTGCTGATTAGACCCAACGGTGTAACCACAGTTGATTGTCCTCGTAAATGTTATTATTATATGCACTCAACACGGCAATTGATCACGGTAGAAGTAAAAACAGCGGAAAGTAAATAAAAGTAACCCATTAAAGAGGGATTTGATTGATGAGGGTTTTCTAATCATAATCACGATAATATAAACAACTCGACAATTATTTAAATAGTAAAGTTATTTCCATGATGAAAGACCCGAGCCGAGAAGCTCGTTAATTTTTCTCTAAGCTGAATTAAATCGCCGGTGTTGGGTGTACTTCAGGACCCCGATCCTTAAATGTTTTAATAGTAGTCGGGGGGAGGGGGGGGGCACGTGACCACGCAATTATATGCTCGTCAAGCCGGCCCTCGGGCACTCGGTATTAGCCACACATCAGCCTCCTCAATCGCGAGCCCGGTAATTAAAATATAATTTGTGATTATCCGAGGTCTAATGAGCCCGATCGTCAAGATTTCAGATTTCTTCGTAATGCAAGCTATCGAAAAATTATTTTCCTTTGAAATTTTTACTAAAAAAAAGTTTTCTTTTTAATTTTCGAATTAAAAATTCAAAAGCTAAAATTCAATCGGTTTAATTAAAATTAGAGCAAGATAAAACAAATATAAGGAGCACATCAGAACCGCGCAGCGGGAGTCCAGAGGGAATATGAGAGCGAAACTCGTCGTTAATTCACTAGCATGTTCGCTTCTGGGTGATTGTGGTGAGATGGGATAACTTTTATTTATAAAATGTAAATAAAATAAAAATATGGAATAAAAGGAAGAATATTATATTATGTGTTCTCGTCTTACGTTTCGAGTCTTGGGTCTGCCGGTTACCGGTTACTGCAGAAAACTTCCTTACAATCCTTTAAATTATTTATCGACCCATGAATCTTTAGTGAAGGATTTAATACGCCCGGTAGTAGTCGTAAAGTCGGCGTTGCTTTTGCTCGACACCTCGCTAAATATTTCACCGAGTCATGCTGTACTTTCCGATTCATTTATATCTAATCATTTTAATGTACTTATCGAAGAATTAAACTTTTTATTAAATTTCTCGAGAAAAATATTTGTTTAAAGTTAAAAAAATAATGTTTTATATTAAATAAATTTATTAGCACTTGGTAATTTTAGGAAGTTGATAAATAATAAAATAATTGCTAATTACGTTATAAATTTTTCCAGTATACAAAGCAATAACAATAACTTATAATTGGTATTAGCCTCACTACTTATTAAGTATACATTTAAAACTAGATAAAAAAAACAGTTTGTCATTATCTTATAGCTCGCAGCCAATCAACACCTGTCTCAGTAAGTCAGTAGTAATAGTAAAAACCTAGTTTGTTATGTATAACTTATAAGCTTATAACAAACTCTCCAGTAAATAAATAACTATTGCCCAACATAATATCAGCGGTAATAACTAATAATATTATTCCAAAGCTGTCACAGCAACATAACAAACTTATAACTTGTAAACTATCAATATTGAACAAACACATGCCTGAACTTGTGTTTTCTATGTATTAGTATCTATAGAACATAACCAGAGTCAGTGATAATGATAAGAATCACTTTTACAATAAAACAAACTCGACAAACAAAATCTATGAGATTAGGTAATAAATTATTTATTTAATATTATTTTTGCGGGCGTGATTATATAGTCAAGTTGTCACTTGTGACCATGAATAATAATAAATCTCGATAAAGAGCTTCCGAGGTCCTTTCCAGTGGTATCAGGAGCACGAGGATCACGACTTTCGTGTTCGACTCTCCTCATACTCCTTATTCCCTTTTACTTTATTTTACTTTAACTTATTTATTTATTTTATTTATATTGAAAGTATCTGTCTATATATGTCTGTCAGCTACTATACATAAATCTAATATAAATTATTATTATTATTATTATTTATCAAAAAATTAATAAATTTTAATGATAATTTTTTTAATAAAATAACAATAATTTTTTTTAATAAAATAATAATAATAGTAATAATAATTAAAAAAATATTATTATTATTTAATTTTTAAAAAATTATAATTATTATACAAAATTCTTTTTAATTAAATATTAAATTAATTTTTAAATAATATATAATATAATTTATTTAGAGCCGTAATATGGACGGCAAAATTAAAATATATATATGTTTATATATATATATATTTATATATATCTACTAGCAATCAGTTTGCTTTATTTTCCCCACAGAATAGAATAATTCACTCTATTAACAAGGCGATGGAGAACAGGAATAGCGCGATGATGACGAACAATGGTGGAGATCTCGAGGGCAATGATGCTACTATTGACACTTCCTCGCCTTATTCTCCGGGGTCGAGTCTTAGTGATGGGATATTTGACCCTCCTAGTCCGGCTAAAAATCACAGCCCTCAGAGAACTCTACCTTCTCTCAGCAATTTGTCGAATATTAATAAAAATTCGGGAAATAATGTCGCGAAGAATAAAAAGGATCTCTTTGATTCGCTGTTTGACTCCTCCCCGGTGGTTAAGATGAATTCTAAGATGAGGAATTTGAATAAAAAGTCGCCGGATAAGAGGAAGAAGAGTGGAAATTCGAAGATTGGAGTTAGAATGGATGAGAATCAATTGCAGATTCTTGATGATCTTCCTAGCTCGGCGGTGGAGATGCAAGTCAAGGATAAGTTTTTGAAGAAGCTTAATCGACAGGAACGCGTTGTTGAGGAAGTTAAGCTCGTCTTGAAGCCACATTATACCAAGAAACATATTACCAAGGAGGAATATAAAGATATTATGAGGAAAGCTGTACCCAAGGTTAGTTTCTTCATTTTTTTTTGGAGATTTTATCTGAAACTAGCAACCTTGCAGTCACTATCTGACTGCCGTGACTTATGAATTATAAATAGATAAAATTTTGCTTTATTAAATAATGACTTGATGAATTGCACTGTACTTTTTTAAATATTGACGTTTTTAAAGATATAAGCTCATTCCGATGTTACACTCATCAAGAGCTTTTATTTGACTACCCACATGCATTTTTGATATATTTTTGATATATACATATATATAATATATATAAATATATGAAAATGCATGTGGGTACTCAAATGAAAAGTCTCTGCGGATGTAATGTTAGAGTGAGCTTATATCTTTAAAAATGTTAATAGTTTACAAGATACAAGGTCGTTTCTTAATTATGTTAAATTACACTGTACTTTCTTAACTATTGACATTTTTAATGATATAAGCTCATCCCGATATTATACTCATTAAGAGCTTTCATTTGAGTACCCACATGCATTTTTGATATATTTTTCATATATATAATATGTATATATAAATATATGAAAAAATTGATGTGGGCACTCAAATGAAAGGTCTTGATGAATGTAATGTCAGAGTGAGCTTATATCTTTAAAAATATCAATAGTTCACAAGATATAAAGTCATTTCTTAATTATGTATCTAGAGATAGAGCCTTTTCGAATGCAGGCCACAAAATTTTGCTTATTCTCTTAATAATATAGATTATTTTTTTTTTCTTTTTTTAGATTTGTCACAACAAGTCCGGAGAAATTAATCCTAAAAAGATTGCTCAACTGGTAGAGGCTTATGTTAAAAGGTGTCGAAGTAACAAACGCAAATCGTTACCTGAAGCGAAATCATCTGCGACAACTGCTGCAACAAATAAAAATTTACGATTAACGTAAGTATTTTTTTTTTTTTTTGTGATTTTGTGGTTTGATTAATTATCAATATTAATTAGATAAAATAATACAATGTTACAGAAAAACTTCTTGGAGTTGATCAACAATTGTAAACATATAAACTAACAAAATGGTTTAAGTCAGTACGACTGATAAAGTGTATATCAGATAGGAAGACAAAAATTAATTGTCAGTAATGGAGCAATCGTTTTAGACCTATGTAAATACTTAATTAATTAATTGATTGTATGTATTAAAGCGCAATATTTGTATTTATCTTTGAATATAGCCTATAATACGCCACTGTTTAACACTGAATATCCGTATTATTGCTACATTTTACTTGTAGGAAACAAAATCTTATATTATATAGTTATTAATTAGTATTTATCGTAAAGTTATGAGGTGAATAAACAGTAAAAAAATTAATAAACATTTTAATAGTTTTAAATTATTGATACTTTACCACTATCTTTAAATAAACTGTTTTTAATATTTAAATTATAATCCAGTATTATTTTATAAAACTCTAATGCTCATCACTTTTTTTTTGTTTATAAATAAATGTCATATAATCAACCTATGCTTCTGTAATAATTATAAATTATAACTTACTTTTTTAAGATATTTATGTTCGTCTAATTTTAAGCTATTTTTTACCACTATTTTATTAAGACTAATTATTATATTTTATTGTTAATTACGTATTGACATTTTACGTACTGAGAAAAATAAATTGCATCCTTCATTTTATTTTATATTATTTTATTTATGGAAAAAATATCTTCTATTTTTATTTCTTAGTAAAACTTCTGATACTTTTTTTTATTTTTATAAATTTGTCAGTGAAAAAAAAATCAAATTGACAGTTTTAACGAAGAAATTTGACAGAGAATTAGATAAAGACACATGCGCTCTCTACTGTCAAAAATTAGAACTAATTTGAATTTAAATTTAATTTACCAACAACAGATACCGGTAGATGTCATTACAATAAGAAGAAAAAAAATGGCTGTCTCTTGCTGGTAGGCAACGTGTCGAGCAAGTTGTAGGCCGTATTGTAAAAAGCTTAAAAAGTTAATCACAGTGTTATAAATTAATTAAAAAAAATGACTTTGACCGACGATAAAATCGAGGAGCCGGTGGTTGAAACAGAAGTGCATTTTACAGCACCAGCTATCCAGAACAACCCTGATGGATGGGGACCTTGTGAGTTGCCGGATCAGTTCCGCGACATTCCATATCAGCCATTTTCTAAAGGTGATAGATTAGGAAAAGTAAGTTTTGCATTTTTATCTATTTATCACCTTTGTAGATATTATTTAGAGCAATTAAATTAATTTGTTTTTATTTTTTATAGATTTCTGACTGGACCGGCGTTGCTTTCCAGGATAAAAAATTCACAAGTAAGTTTTTAATTCATAACCTTAAATTATATGCTGCTGTTAGCAGACATTTTACAAATTTTTTTAACAAAAATCTATAATAATAAATTTGATCAATAATAATAATAATAATAATAATATTAATAATCATAATGATAACAAAGATTTGATTTTTGTTGAAAAATCAAATTTTTCAACAAAAATCAATAAAAGTAGAAAAATCTTTTTAATAACTCTTTTAATTTTTTAAAATTTCTACACGTAGATTTTTTACTAAATTTTTTTCATTATAATTTAATTATTAAAAAATATAAAAATTTTTTAGATGTCTGCTAAAATTATTTATCAATTTAAATAATTTCTACTTGAATCATTAATAATAATAATAATAAAATAATTCCAGACAAATACCAATCTCAATTTGGATCCGGAAGTCAATACGCATACTACCACGACGAAGATGAGTCAACCTTCCACCTGGTGGACACGACCCGCGTGCAAAAGCCGCCATACCAACGTGGGCGTTTCAACAAGAACCAGCGCAACCTCCGCGGCCGCGGCGGCCAGCGCGGTGGGATGAACGCCCTGCAACAGCTGGGTAAATTGAAGCTGCGCGAACGCGAGCGCAAAGGTCAAACCAAGCGCTGGGGTCGCAACAACAAAAACAACCCGCCGAACAAAAACCGGGACGCTTCTGTTACTGTACGTCCTGACTGGTCAACTATTGAAGAAATGGACTTCCCCCGCTTGGGGAAACTAAGTCTTCCAAACATCAAAGACGGAGAAGACATTTTATGTTGCGGCTCTTTGGAGTATTATGACAAGACATACGACCGAGTTAACGTCAAAAATGAAAAGCCACTGCAGCGTGTGGATAGAATTTTCCACACTGTCACTACTACTGATGACCCGGTCATCCGAAAATTGTCCAAGACCGAGGGAACGGTCTTTGCCACTGACGCCATCTTGGCTACCATTATGTGCTGCACCAGGAGCAACTATAGTTGGGATATTGTAATTGAAAAAATCGGAGACAAGCTCTTCTTCGATAAGAGAGACAATACGGAGTTTGATTTGTTAACAGTTAATGAAACTAGCGTTGAGCCTCCACAAGATGACGGGAATTCTTTGAATTCTCCACGAAATTTAGCCTTAGAGGCTACTTTTATCAACCACAACTTCTCTCAGCAAGTTTTAAAGTCCAGCGAACCCAGATTTAAATTCGAGGAAGGAAATCCTTTCATTTCCGAAGAAGAGGAAGGTGATGTAGCCTCGGTAGCTTATCGGTACCGCAAATGGGACCTGAACAACGGCATCACCTTAGTTTGTCGTTGCGAGCACGATGCTGTCTTGCAGGGCCCTAATGGAGAAATCCAATTTTTAACTATCAAAGCTTTGAATGAGTGGGACTCGAAGCTAGCCAACGGAGTTGAGTGGCGTCAAAAATTGGACACTCAGAGAGGAGCTGTTCTTGCAAACGAGCTAAGAAACAACGCATGCAAACTCGCAAAATGGACTGTTCAGGCCCTCCTTGCTGGATCTGATCAAATTAAGTTTGGATATGTCTCTCGTGCTAGCGTTCGTGACTCGTCAAAACATGTTATACTAGGAACTCAGCAGTACAAACCTATTGAGTTTGCTAGACAGATAAATTTGAACATGGACAACGCTTGGGGAATTTTGCGTTGCATTATAGACATTTGCTTGAAGCAAAAAGATGGTAAATATCTGATAATGAAGGATCCAAACAAGCCTATGATCCGGTTGTATGATATTCCCGATAATACTTTTGAGAGCGAGGATGAGGAGGAAGAGGATGAAGAAGAAATGGTCAATGACGCGTTCCAGAATTAAAAGATTCACATTAATTTTGTATTATTTGGCTTATACTATCAATTATATATTGTACTAACTACAATTATTTTTAGTTTGAATTAATAAATAATTAAACTGGAAATTTTTTTGTATTTTTTTTGGGATTAAATCATTTTTTTTTAATTATAAATTTGTATTTTATTTTTATTATTTTAAGTTTTAAGAACTTATTAGGGACAGTAGATAATTTTTAGAATTTTTTTTAATAAGTAATTATGGTAAAGAAATTTTTTTTTCTTTAAATTCCATCTTTAGTAGTTAAAAAAAAAATTATAAATAATTTTTTAAACACAATTACAAGTAAAATTGTACGTATAATTTTTAAAATCTGTGTGGATTTTTTTTTCTAATAATTTAATGAGAATTAATTTAGCAGATATTTTATAGTTTTAAGAATTTTTCAACAGTTAAATTATGTCAAAGAAAATGAGAAAAAAAATTAACATTTAGAAAATTAAAAAAATAAAAAATCCAATTTTTTAGAGCAAATTTATTTATTAAAAAAAATTAAAAAATGGTCAAGCGACTATTAACTTTAATGTCATAATTATTTATGATATTAAAGATAGCTGTCACTTGACCACTTGACCACTTTTTAATTTTATTTAACATAAAAATTTGTTCCAAAAAATTGCATTTTTAGTAAATTTTCTAAATGTCAATTTTTTTTCTTATTTTTTTAATGCAGTAATTTATTTATTAGAAAAAATTCTTAAAATTATTAAATATCTGCTAAATAAATTTCTATAATAATTTTTTCAATAAAAAAAAATTCTAAATAATTTAATTGTCAAAAAATTGGACTGAAAATTCTAAATTTAAAATTCCGCGGCAAATTAAAACCTACTGCGCACAATAATCTGCGCATGATGGGAGTATAAATAAATTATATTATATTGTATGCTCGAAGAAAAGTATAGCTATATATGAGCAAATACCACAAATCGTCAAATCGTGTGTATACACTACTTGACACACATGTTTATATATGTTTTCAGCAGCAAATGGCCGACGACTGGACTCGAAACATTGTTTGCCGGTGAGAAATTACAATAATTAATAATTAAATTACTATGACACTATTATTTAATAATTAATATACAATAATATAAATCTGACTGTTTAAGTTACTACAAAAATGGCCTGTGTCGAGAGGGTGATAACTGCCGGTATCGACATACAAGTCAGCAGTCTGGTGAGCAAGATGAAATGACTGATGTTAGTGAGTCGAACAACAACACCAACACCTCCGAGCAAGGGGCTAGCCAGGTTCCTTGTCGCTTTTTTAAATGGGGAACCTGCAAGTTCGGTAACCGCTGTCGTTATGGCCACGCATCCTCCACCAGCTCTGGAATGTCAGCAGTCCGTTCTGATGCCAGCCAGGACATTGACTCATTATTAAGTTCAACCTCGTCTGCTGCAGCATCTTCTCTCACAGACGCTGCTCACTCATCCTCGTCCTTTTCGTAAGGCATTTTATTTTTTTTTAAATTAAGTCCTATCAAAATTTTTAGAATTTTTTTTGCAAAAAAATTATAAGTGCAATTTTTAAAAAATATTTTTTAGTTTTTAATTTTATAAAAAAACAAACAAAAATTAAAAACGGCTAACTTTAGTTAGTATTATAAATTTTAATTCCCAAATTTGTAAATTAATTTTATGACACTAAAGTTACCAATCATTTAATTTGTTTTTAAAAGTTATTTTAAAAAAATTTTCAATTTTTTTTGCGATAATTTATTGCTTAAAAAAATTATAAAAATAATTAAAAATTTGCTAAATTTATGAAAATTAAATAATTGACTAATAAATTATTTTTTATAAAATTAATTTTTGTAATTTTAGGAATACAAATAATTATGAACCAACTGAGTGGGTCAAAGCGCCAGTTTTCGTACCAAACACCCTAACTGGTATGAATTGTGACCTTGAAGATGGAGATGACAGCAACATTGATATGTCGTCGATCAAAACAACTAAACCAGAATCTTACGCCAGAGCGGTTAATAATACTGGGCAAACTCTAAACCCAGCCTCGGAACCTCTTTGTCCTTATGCAGAATCAAGTGGAGTATGTAAAAAACTCGAGTGTCCTTACTTACATGGAGATATTTGTGATCTTTGTGGTAGTGCTGCCCTTCATCCCTTCAACAAAGAACGTCGACAGCAACATACAAGTGTAAGTTTTTTTTTTTTTTTTTTTTATTATTTTTGAGGGAAAAAAAAATTTGTTGTTAAAAATTATTTAAGGAAAAAATGAATTTTCAATTTTTTTTAATTTCTACTTGTCAATTTTTTTTGCTAAATTTAAGTGTAACAAAAATTATTACGAAATTAATTTTTATTAAATCAAAAGGCGTGTATAAAACAACATGAGGCTGATATGGAGGAGTCATTTGCTATCCAGCGTAGCCGCAGCAAAGCCTGTGGAGTTTGTTTCGAAGTGATAATGGAAAAAACGTCACGTGAGCAGAGGAGATTCGGTATCTTGCCGAACTGCAATCACTGTTTTTGTCTGAGCTGCATTAGAAAATGGCGACAAGCTAAGCAATTTGATAACAAAATTATACGCTCGTGCCCGGAATGCCGGATTTCGTCAGACTTTGTTTGTCCCAGTATCTACTGGGTGGACACTAAAGAAGAAAAGGAGAAACTTATTGTCGAGTATAAAGGAGCGCTGAGGTAATTATGTTTTTTGCAATGTTACATGCAAGACCTTCATTTATGCGTATGAAGTATATTCAATGTCTTAGCAAATTTGCATCTATTTATAATTATCATTTCATTGGTTGGAACTCAGAGATAAATATTAATAGGATTAAAATAGTAGTATTTATTTATTTATTTACTTACTTCCTTCCCTAAATTACATATGTAGTTGTATATACGTATTAATAGATTAATTAGAATTAATTTTTTTTTTTTTCCCCTATAGTCAGAAGGATTGCAAATACTTTAATAAGGGCCAAGGAAAATGTCCCTTTGGCAATAAATGCTTCTATCTTCATGCCTTACCTGATGGAACTAAAGCTGATGTTGGTCCACCAGCACGTCAAGCTTCTCATTCTAGCGGTGAAATTGATTTCCTTCAGGTATTTTTTTTTTTATTATTATTTTTTTTTTTATACTGAAATTCCGACATTTGATAATTTTTATGAAAAATAATTTATAGCAAAAAAAAAGTTCAATTTTTGGAAACTAAAAAATAATAAAAAAAAATTTTTTATACTTAATTTTTTTTTTTTTTTTAAATTGTCAAGTGTCTAATAATTTAAAAATCATTTTTTTTTTTTTAAATATTGAAATAATAATTATTATTATATTTTAGCAATTAATATTGTGGAATTTTCTGGAAGAAAGAGACAACCGTTGGATTTACATGGATGATCATGACGAGGTTGTCGTTTTGTTCTCAGATTCTGAAGATTCCGTCTGGTAAAAACCTTTTCGTCCTTATGTAATTAATTAATTAATTAAACTTAAACTAATGAATAAAAAAACACCAATCTTTGATTTTCACGCAAAGTAATAATTAATAATAATATAAAAATATTTTCAAGAATTTTTTTGTGATATATATATATATATATATATATATATATAAAAATTTTTTTTTTTTGTTTCTTCATATAGATTTCCAAGACAAGTTACAATTCATTAATCGTGGCTTTATAAGTGTTTTACAATTATACTTAGATAAATATTATTCTTTTTTGGTAATACACTAAAAAGATAATAGTTAATCTGATAGTAAAAAAAAAAATATAAAGGTTATCGGGTAAACAAAATAAAAATAAAACAATAAATGTGTTATTGCTAAAGTGCGTTAATTACGAGTGTAATGTACAATAGTTTAATAGTGAAAACATTGTTGTTATTATTATTATTATAATTGATATTCATAATTAATTTAAATTAAAAACGGTATCTCAATGTTGGCATATAAATAAGTAATAAGCAAATACTTGTTGAGGTGATTTAAATTTTCTTCTGCTCACTCATTATACTTCTATTATTATTTTTTACACTTTTTTTTTTTTTTCATACATTATATTTTGTAATTGTTAAACTTAGTTTTAAATGATTGATTAGAAGAAAAAAAAAAGATAATTAAAATTATATCCTACTAAAAAAAAAAAACAGTGTTGTTATTTCTTGGCAGTATATTTTTTATTACTTGTAAAAAATCGTATATATATTATTATGTGTAACAATAAGCAGTGCTAGTAAAAAATCATTTTTATTACCTACTAATAATAATAATTATGAATTAATTTTTTTATTTAAAAATCATTCGAAAAATAAAATTTATCACTCGGGCTAATTATAATGAAAAAAAAATATAATTTAAAGTTTTATAATTAATAATTATTATAATTATAAGTAAATTAATTGTATAAATAACTAATGACGAATTTAGCAGTCAATTAACAATTTTTTAATTTTTTTTAACAAAAAAATTAAAAAAAAAAAATTACATTTTTAATTTTTTTAAATTTCTGTCAATTATTTTTCCTCTAATTTCTTATAAAAAATAAAAAAAAAAAACAATTAAATAACTGCTAAACAAATTAATATAAATAACTATACAACAGTAGAGTCTTTAGACGAGGGCTGTTGAGATGGTTGTACGTTGCTGCAGTCTTTATTGTCACTCTCATTCCCTCTGTTAGCCGAATATTTATAAAACCCAAATGAAAAAAAAGAAAAAATAAATAAAACCAAATTAAAAAAAGCATTTTTCGCAAATAATAAAACAAAATAAATAAAATCAAAAATATACCTTCGGGCAATGTGGGACTGACAGGGTAAAATTGTTTGAGCTGGATTAATTCTCGCTTGCACGAGAGGCACGTGGGGCGTTGAAATTCTCTGCCGAGTAAATCCCATATTATTCTCCACACTCTCACTATCAATCCCATTAATATTAACATTATTATTACTACAATTACTATTATTATTATTATTATTATTATTTAAATTCTTAGGCTGAGTATTAATCCCAGGCTCAACTTTTTTCCTGAATTTTGTAGAGTATTTATAAAAGTCCGACATCTCAAAAGGCTTGGTGACCTCTTTGTAAGGCTGATACTTCCCCGGGTGAATAATAGTCCTCCCATCGGTAGCTAATTTATTATCCGGAGACGCAAAGTTCGAGGGTTCAAAGGCGTCGCCGTTTATTGATTTACTGCTAGACAGCCGGGTGTTTGATTCAGCGGGGATTTCAAGGTTCTTGAGCGTCTGGGACAAGGTGGCGGGAGGCTTCGAGTAGTCCAGGTCAATGGAGGTCTCGTACCACTCTTTTTCAGAATCTCTGTATGAGTTACGTGTATCTGGGCCTGGGCTGCCCTCAACAATGCTGTGAAAGACGGAGCCAGCCGTCGGGGAAGGTAGAGTAATAGCAGCAGTAGTCTCTACCACAGGAGTAATTGACTTATTGTCATCCTGGTGCCAAGTCTCAACACTGCCCAGCGACTGAGTCCTTAAAAGAGTGCGCGACTGCGACAAGTTAAGCCGTTCAGGCCTTGCTGGACCTTTTGTATTGCTGCCCAAATATTTAGGGTTGTTTTGACTACTAGAGAACCCAGTGACATTGCTCTGCTTCACAAACTTGGTCTGAACCGGCTTGAGTCCTCCAACTTGAGGTCCCAGGGTCATCAAACCTTGCCCAGGGTCAAGAGTATTTGCTTGGTAATTAATATTACCCGCATACTTCCGGCGATCTATGCTTCCAAATCTATCAGGATGTTGCTGCTGATGTTGTTGTTGTTGTTGTTGTTGTTGATACTCTGAATTTACACCCGGCCAGAGAATTTCATCTCCATTAATTACCCAACTATCAGCAGAGCTTGCAAATTCTTGGCGCCGAGAAATAGGCGGCATGCTTTGATGATTATTCCTTTTAATTAATTTATCTTGCATTGAATTCCGCTCGTGTAAAACTGGAGGAATTTGTTCGAAATTTTCATTTGAAGAAACGTGGACGAATGGATCTGAGGGATAGTAAGGTAACCGAGAGCGGTATTGATTTGTTGTTAGCTCATATTTTCCGGTTGTCTCGATATTGGCGCCTACTGACTGGGACGAGGGGAGGGTCTCGCTAATATTGCTGGGTGATAATTGGCTCTGGTGATAGTAATGGTGATATCTAGGAGAAGGTTGCTTGTAAGTGCTTGATAGCTGGCGTTGGTTGTAATAAGGCACCTCGCTTTGGCGTTTAGGCCATAAATTTGGAGTAGTGTCTTCTTTGTTGGAGATCATACGGTAAGTCCGTTCGGGTAATTGGGGGTGCTTGTGGTGCAGGGATACTTCGTCTGAGTCATGAGAGTATGTAGATACTCGGTGTTGTTGATTTCCGAGGATGTATATGTCGGAGTTTTCATTCAAGTCGTGAATTCCGTCGCTTCGAGAACTTTTACTGCTGCTTCCACCTCCGATTACTGAACCTTCGTTCAGCCAGTCACTCTTGTCGTTTTTAATGTGATTCTGATCGTGGACTGATGTCAGCGATGACTCATCGGGACTGATTACTTTTGATGACTTATCGTAAGTTAGTTGCGGATTTAAGATTTTATCTGCAATAAATTATTTTTTATTCAATATATTAATTTAAGTTATATTATTAAGAGAATAAGAATAATTTTGTGTCCAGGATAGTTCCTCTAGATACATAATTAAGAAATGACCTTGTATCTTGGGAACTATTGACATTTTTAAAGATATAAGCTAATTCTGATGTTACACTCATCGAGACCTTTCATTTGAGTACCCACATCAATTTTTCATATATTTATATATATATTATATATATATGTATATATGAAAAATATATTAAAAATGCATGTGGGTACTCAAATGAAAGCTCTTGATGAATGTAACATCCGTATGAGCTTATATCTTTAAAAATGTCAATATTTAAGAAAGTACAGGATAATTTAATCAATATCTTGTGAAAGGTTGACATTTTTAAAGATATAAGCTCACCCTGACATTACTCTCATCGAGACCTTTCATTTGAGTACCCACATCAATTTTTCATATATTTTATATATTTATATATATTATATATATAAATATATGAACAATATATCTTTGAGTACCCATATCAATTTTTCAATTTATATATATATTATATATATATGTATATATGAAAAATATATTAAAAATGCATGTGGGTACTCAAATGAAAGCTCTTGATGAATGTAACATCCGTATGAGCTTATATCTTTAAAAATGTCAATATTTAAGAAAGTACAGGATAATTTAATCAATATCTTGTGAAAGGTTGACATTTTTAAAGATATAAGCTCACCCTGACATTACTCTCATCGAGACCTTTCATTTGAGTACCCACATCAATTTTTCATATATTTTATATATTTATATATATTATATATATAAATATATGAACAATATATCAAAAATGCATGTGGGTACTCAAATGAAAGCTCTTGATGAGTGTAACATCGAGATGAGCTTATATCTTTAAAATATATATTATATATATATGTATATATGAAAAATATATCAAAAATGCATGTGGGTATTCAAATGAAAGCTCTTGACGAGTGTAACACCGGGATGAGCTTACATCTTTAAAAACGTTAATATTTAAGAAAGTACAGTGCAATTTAACAAAATTCATTATTTAATAAAGCAAAATTCAATTTTTTATTAATTTATCAAATAATTAATTTAATAATTTAACCTGGAGCTGCATTGAATGGCGGGCGGGGTTTTTTTGATTTATGTTTGGCGTAAGTCGAGCCAGACGGCAGAGCAGTATCATCAGAAAAAATAGAAGATTGCCAGGGTGTAGACTCGGCGATATTAGGCCGTCTGGGTAATTGTCCATAGCTCAGTCGGATAAAAGTCAATCTTGTATCCAGTTCCTTAATACGTCTTTGAGCTTGCTGATAAACTGATCGGTGCTTTCTGCGAACTGCTTTGCTTTCCGATGAATCACTGCAGATAGCGAACGCCGCTGTGGCAATACTTGTTTGTACTTGACGTTCCAATTCCAACGCTGATTCTTCCTATTATTAACAATTAATCATTAACAATAATTTCATTTCATTTAAAATTATAAAAAACTTACAGCTTCGCTGCTCTTGAGTTTATTGATAAGATTCTGCGGGTATGCAAATGAAGTTCCAACTCGCCTGCGAAAAAACGGCGGACTCTCTCCCGGATCCAAGGGAATCTCTGGAGGCAAAATACCTGTCAGTTCAGCTTCGTCGATGCACAAATTTTTCAGCTCATTATTTTTGCGAGCCAGCTTTTCTTCCAGTGCTTCGCGACGTTGACGAAGCCATTGCAGTCGGCTTGCTGAGGCTGTGTTTGTCTCTATCCTCGATTTCTGTTCACTCTCAGCCATCACTAAAAAATAAGTTAATTTATTTATTTATCACTAACTCACACTCTCACTGCTTATCAATAAAAAAAAAATAATGTAAACAAAAATAAACTCACCCATATTAGTAGCAAGTTATTAAAAAGCCAACTTTTTGTAATTTATTTACAGCAAAACTGACTCCATTATTTTTTAAAAATTATTCCCATTTTAATAACTATTGTATTACGACAAATAATTATTGTTACGTGACACCAATAGTACTTTTAATAAGTATCTGGTTTGTTATTATGCAATTGCATTGCTTTGAACTTATCAATGCTGAGTGTGTGTATATTTATAAATATTGGTGGATGTATTTAATTCTTAATCCCCATTGCTGGTATTACTTTCTTGTGTTGTGGGTAAACGCTACAATCGACAATATATTTTCTGTATATAATACTCGAAGCGTGAACGCCTGTACATATTAATAGTACTCGATACTATTACTATCGGTGTACGTATAACTGACCTTGTATAAATGTGTACGTGAGAGAGTACGTATATGTAAATACAGTGTGTGACAGTCAGTGGCTTAGCTGGTAATTCTGGAAAAAAAGTTCAATAATAATAATAAACATTCTCTGTATTATTACAATTACTATTATTGTTGTTGTTATTGTGATTATTGCTATTATACGCAATACGTTACAGAAGATGACAGAAGCGCCATTTTGGTCGCGGGAAGAAAAATTGTTCTTAAATATTTTAATTGTATTGTGTTTATTATTGGATTCTTTTTAATGTCAAATAAATATTGATTTTTAATAAATAAAAATGTCATTAATATCAGCTGTCACTTGAGTATTTCTTTACTTTTTTTTTTTATAAACAAATTTGTTGTGAAAAATTATTTTTAAAAAATTGCATTTCTTATTTTTTAAAATTCTTATTACATGAAAATTTTTTTATGACAATCAAGTTGACAGGTATTAGAAATGTTTTTATAATTTTATAATGACATTAAAGTTAACAGTCGCTTGACAATTTTTTAATATTCTTTTAATAAATAAATTTGCTCCGAAAAATTGTTTCTAAAAAATTGGATTTTTTAATTTTCTGAATGTAAATTTTTTTTTGACATAATTTATTTATTGAAAAAATTTTTAAAATTATAAAATGTCTACTAAATTAATTTTCATAATTTTGACATGTAAAAATTAAAAAAAAATTATTAGTTCAAATTTTTATAATCATTTTTTTATTGTAACTGATTTATTATAAAAATAAAAAAAATTGACAGCTGTCAGTTAACTTCAGTATCATTATTTTTTGTTATAATTTATTTACAAAAATTTTTAAATGTCTACTAAATAAATTTTATAAAAAAAACAGTGAGTTGTCAAAATTAACAATCAGCTAACAGCAAAAAAAAAAAGATTGTTAAAAATAACTTACCTCTTGGGTATGGAAACATTTGTTTAATTAATTGATTTATTAAAAATTAATTGAATTTAAATTTCAATTGCAACCAAGATGATACTACAGTTGACTACATTGACTACTTGTCGACAAAATTAATAGTGGCGCCATCTACAACAATATTTTTTTGGTAAATCATTATAGCGCGCTTGTCAATAATTTTTTTTATAAAACTATTGTTAGGCATGTATATAAATATACAAATATATGTTTAAATGTGAGATTGCAATTGGCCTGTTCAATTACAAGTTTCCTTCGTTGCAGACAATAATTGTTCTCCAAGAACACATGGTGTGTTGGTGTTTGAGGAACGTTGGAGAGAAAGCAAAAAAAATTCAAAATAAAACAGCGGGGAGAGGTGAGGAGATTTGTGATTCTGGCGGACGGAGCTTGAAGCTGGTGATTGGTGGATGGTGGTTGGAATAAAGCAGTTGAAATTTTATTTGTAAGCGGTTGAAACAAGAAAAGTTGAGCAAAACTGACTACCGAGACAAAGGTTATTACGTGAGAATAAATTGTTTATTATTATTCGGTATAAATATTGCAATCAGCTGTAATGTCACTTTGTAGTTGTTAATTATTGGAGTGTAGTTTTGTTGGCACGGTGTTATTGATAATTCAGTAGTGTGTGCGTACAATTATATTTTAGCGACTAATTCGTGGAATTTTTTAGGTTTTAGCAGAAACATGGAGGCTCTGATACCTGTAATAAATAAGCTTCAGGATGTTTTCAATACTATTGGAGCAGATGTCATTCAGTTGCCTCAGATTGTCGTATTGGGAACGCAGGTTAGTTTATTATTCATACATTTTATTTAGGGTTATTAAATATCAATAAAAATCTATGTCAAGAATTATTCTGATTACATTCTTGAAAAATAATTATTTTATAAACAAAATTATTGATCCAGAGTTCTGGTAAGTCATCAGTCATCGAAAGCTTGGTAGGCCGTTCATTCCTGCCCCGCGGGACTGGAATCGTAACACGACGACCCTTGGTGCTCCAATTGGTCTACTCGCCAAAAGACGACCGGGAGAACCGCAACGCTGAAAATGGAACACTTGACGTTGAAGAATGGGCTACCTTCTTGCACGACAAGCACAGGATCTTCAGAAACTTTGACGATGTTCGTCGCGAAATCGAAAAAGAAACCGAGCGCATGGCTGGCGGGAACAAGGGAATTTGCCCCGAGCCAATCAACCTGAAAATATTCTCCCCCAAAGTCGTCAACCTGACGCTCATTGACTTGCCGGGCATCACCAAAGTCCCCGTCGGGGACCAGCCAGAGGATATCGAGTCTCAGATTCGCCAGTTGGTACTTAAGTATATTTGTAATCCTAATTCTATTATTCTCGCTGTGGTCACCGCGAACACTGACATGGCCACCAGCGAGAGCTTGAAGTTCAGCAAAGATGTTGACCCGGATGGAAGACGCACTCTTGCTGTTGTTACTAAGCTGGATCTTATGGATGCAGGTGATTATTTTCTTCATGTTTTTTTTTTTTTTTTTTTTTTTTTTTTTTTTTTATATATTAATAAAAAATATAATTATTGTAATGATAATTTTATTTTTTAAATAGGTACTGATGCCATAGAGATACTTTGTGGACGTGTAATACCAGTTAAACTTGGTATCATTGGTGTAGTTAATAGATCCCAACAAGATATTATTAATAATAAAACTATTGAAGAGGCATTGAAAGATGAATCAATGTTTTTACAAAGAAAGTATCCGACTTTAGCTAATAGAAATGGTACTCCGTATTTAGCTAAGACTCTTAATCGTTTACTTATGCATCATATTCGCGATTGTTTACCTGAATTAAAGGTAATTTTTTGTTTATTTATTTTAATGGTTAAGAATTTTTAATGAAAATTAAGTTAGCTGACATTTAAAAATTGTTAAAATTTTTTTTTTTATTGAAATTTGTAAAAAACTTTAAAAAGTATAAGTGCAATTTTTTAAAAATATTTTTTTGTTCTAATTTAATTATTAAATAATTAAAAACGTCAGTTAACTTTAATTAATAAATTTTTATTAACAAATATTTTTTTTAATTTAAATTAAAATTAAAATTAATTAAAAAATTAAAAAATTAATTAATTTTTAAATAAATTTTCAGACGCGTGTAAATGTAATGATTTCTCAATACCAAACACTACTAAATTCCTACGGTGAAGATGTATCAGACAAGAGCCAAACACTCTTGCGAATAATTATGAAATTCGCGAGCAGTTATTGCTCGACAATTGAAGGCACAGCACGTAACATAGAAACAACGGCGCTTTGCGGTGGAGCACGTATCTGTTATGTGTTTCATGTTTTATTCAAAGAAGCCTTGGACGGTATTCATCCGCTCGGCGGTCTCACCAAAATGGACATTCTCACTGCCATAAGAAACGCGACGGGTCCAAGACCGGCGTTGTTTGTACCTGAAGTCTCCTTCGAGTTGCTAGTCAAGAGGCAAATCCGCCGCTTGGAGGACCCGTCATTGAGGTGCGTTGAACTGGTCCACAGAGAGATGCAGGAGATTGTTCAGCACTGTGGTACTGAAGTTCATCATGAAATGCTGCGTTTTCCTAAGTTGTACGAACGTATTGTTGATACTGTAACTCAATTGTTGCGTAAACGGTTACCTACTACTAATTCAATGGTAAAAATTAATTTAAAACAATTTGATATTAATTAAAAATCTTTAAATTTAAAATAAAAAATTTATTTGTTAATTTTATAGGTGAAAAATCTTGTTGCTATTGAATTGGCTTATATTAATACAAAACACCCGGATTTTAACAAAGAAGCGGCTTTAGTTTCTTCGTTATTAAAATCGACAGACATTGATAGTATGAAGCATAGTCGTAAAAATGGAACACTTGCCAATGCTTCTAATACTTCTGTAACACCTGTTGGAATGGTAATTTTTTTTTTTTATTTAATTTAATTACCCTGAAATCAACAGATGAAAATGAAGTTAGCCGACATCTAAAAATTTTTATTTGTAAAAAACTATAAGTGCAATTTAAAAAAAATTTTTTTTTAACTCTAATTTAATGAATGAAAAAAAAATTTCAGCTAACTCAATTTCAGCTATTATTATCAACAGACATTTTAAAATTTTATAACAATAAAATAATTGTAGATGTAAAAATTAAAAAAAATTATAATTGTGAATTTTAAAAGATATTTTTTTATAATAATTAATTTGCTATAAATGGTCAAATGTCTGTCAGTCGATTGAATAATTAATAATAAATTCTTGCAATTGATACAGAATAAAATGGTAAACAACAAAGAAGAATTATTGGGTATTGTGGAGCAGAGTAACAAAGAGCAAAGTCAAAATCACTGGTTGCTGAGTAATTTACTGCCTCAAGGCAGGACAGACTCATCCAGTACAACTGAAAATTCTCCAGTGAGAACTCGCGACGGCGCTAAATCCCCAGGATCTATGCAAGGCAGTGATGTAATCAACAACGTCGAGGATTGGCAGCAGAAAAATTCACAACAGAAAGCTGTTAATCTGCTTTCCGAAGTACCCGCTCAAACGAATAATAATCGTAAACTCAGCGAACGAGAACAAAGAGACTGCGATGTAATTGGTAATTGAATTTTATTTTATTTATTTATTTTTTTTTTGTTTTAATTTTAATTGTCATTGTCAAAGATAATAAATTGGTTTATGATTAACGTTCGCAGAGAGACTCATCAAGTCGTATTTCTTCATTGTCCGCAAGTCTATTCAGGACAGTGTACCAAAGGCTGTCATGCATTTTCTTGTTAATTTTGTTAGAGACAATTTACAAAGCGAGTTAGTAACGCATTTGTACAAAACGGATCAAGCTGAAGCATTATTAAATGAAAGCGAACACATTGCCGTTAGACGTAAAGAAACTAGTGACATGCTAGAGGTATTTATAATTATTATTATTAAATTATATTTATTTTTTATTATTATTGTAATATAATTTATTTTTTTTTTTTTAATTACAGGCATTGACACAAGCAGGCAATATAATTAGTGAAATCCGTGAAACGCACATGTGGTAATAATGAAGTTTAAGATAAATAAAATGTGCTAAGGCAGTTTCTGTTTCTGCTACTTGCTACGTGCTAGTGTCAAAGACTAGATGTAATCGTGTGAAAAAATTTACATTTATTATTATTATTACTTTTAATTATAATTACAATTGTTATCATTACTTTTATTTAATATCTTTTACGTCGTAACTAAGTAACACGATTAATTTATCAATCAACACAGTGTATCAATTTTTATTTCACAATAAAAAAATATCTATGTAAACTCTTCACATTATTTATTTTTATTTATAAAAAATTGTGTCAATTTTTTTAATTTTTTACTTGGAGAATTTTTTTCATAATAATTTATAAAAATTTATTTAGCAGATGTTTGATAATTTTTTTAATTTTTATGACAAAAAAAAAATTGACATGTAGAAATTTTAAAAAAATTAAAAATGCTATTTTTTAGAACAAATTTGTTTGATAAATAAAATTAAAAAATTACTAAGTGGCTGCTAACTTTAATGTTATAAAAGTATAAAAAAAATTCCTAGCGTCTGTCATTGTCATAAAAAATTGTTTATTTAATTTTTTAATTAAAAAAAAAATTTATTTATAGAAACTTACATTATCGGCGGGATCAAGCAGTCAGTTCACTGACAGGAGGACAGTGGCGCGGATGTCTCGTGCAATTATTTATATATGGTTGTAAAATAGTCATAGTGGGGGAAAAAATTATGACTTCCTTGAAGGCAATCCAACTCTGTCAATACAAGATAATTTAAAATAATAAATTCCTAAAAACATTTAATTATTAATTAATAATAATTATTATTATTATTGTGATTATAGTTTTAAATTTATTTAGTGACATTTATTTCAAATGTGAGTATTGAAAAGCTGCTGAGTGTAATTTTTAATTGTTTTTTGTACTATTTACTTACAGCAATAGTAACAATAACAATAATTGTCCTGCTCTGAAGAAAATAGTGCATGTCTGTAAATAATGCATCACGAGTGTATTGAAATTGTTGACAGTAAGACGACTGTGTAATTAAATTACACACTTTTGACAGCTGTAATTTTTTAACTCCAATTATTGTAAATACCACCTAACACAATTGTAACTTAATAATTTAATGATTTTTAATATTTAAAGTGAATGTTAGTTTAATTGAGTTTTGTTAAAATTCACTGATTTAATTTATTAAAATAATAAATAAAAATGTTGAATCGATTCAAATCGGCGTTGATGAATGCTGTCGGTGGGACTGAACTTGGTTTACAGTATCATCATGATTCAGATGGTGAAGTACCCAAAGATTATGCTAGTTCAAGTGTTGTGGAAATTGAAGCTAAGCCTTACAGCAGGCCTAGTTTTTTAGGATTGACCACCGAAGAGACTCAGGTATTTATTTTATTTATTTTTTTTTATAATAGTGAAGTTGACAGATAGAAATTTTTTTATAATTTTTAACAATAAAATTATTGTGAAAAAAATGACATTAAAGTAAGCAGTCACTTGATAATTTTTCAATTTTATTTAACAATTAAATTTATTCTAAAAAATTATTTTTTAAAAATTGCATTTTTAATTTTTTTAAATTTCTACATGTCAATTTTTTTTCTCATTTTTTATTGCCATAACTTCAGTATTAATTAATTAATTTAATCATTGATTATTAATTATTTTTTAATTGATAAAAATAAATTGCTTTTCCAGGTGAGTGCTGACCACAAAGTAAGACCCATAATAGTACCTAGAGACTTGAGCCGCCTGCCATGGTGTGCTGGGTACGCAGAATGTATAAACGCTGGCAAGAGCATGTGGAACGAAGACCAAGCAGCTGCTACAAGAGGAGACTTAGTTTTACCTGATACCGATTTTAATGATATTACCTTGCCTTATGTAATGTTTTCGATGTTTGATGGACATGCTGGTTATCAGGTGGCTTTAACAGCTAGATTACATCTTCATAGAATTATTCTTGTGAGTATCAAAGGTGATTTAGATAATCGCTTGAATGATAACATGACAGTCTTTGGAAATAAATTCTTTATCGCAAAAATAATAATAATAATAATTATTATTATTATAATTTAATAAATTGCAGGTTTTGTCCCTTCAATTTACAATTACATTATTGTGAAGATAGTAGACATTTATTTTTTATTAAAAAAAAAAAATTAACTAAAAATTATTATTCTAAAAAAATGTACTTGTAGATTTTTTAATTTTCTAACTATCTATTTTTTTGAAATAAATTTTTTAACTTGCAATTTAATTGAAAAAAAAAAAAAAAAAATAAAAAATTATTAATTAAGACAATTAATTAAGAAGTTAGATAATTAATGTGATGTTTTTAATTATTTTAGAATAAATTACAAGCGATACCAGGTAACATTTTAATGAATAAAAATGAAGAAAGTACAATAACAGGACAACAGCTAGTTGTTGGTGCAATTGAAATGGCTTACAGAGAAATGGATCAATTAGTTGAATATCTAGCTCTTAACGGCGGGGGTGGCTGTACTGCAATTACTGTATTATTTTTAAACGGCGTACTTTACGCAGCTGGTGCTGGAGATTCAAGGTATTAATTGTTAATTACAATATTTAGTTAAAAAATTATTAAATAATTTAGCTAAAAAATTATTAATTGTTTATATAACAGAGCAGTATTGGTGTACGGAGATGACCAACGGGCATTGACAAATGACCACACGCCCGACTCGGAATCCAACCGAGTAAGAGCATTAGGATTTTTAAAAAGTACCGAGTTGCTTAAAGGACACTTTACACCTCTAGAGTTTAAAAAACGTCCTTTAGAACGGGAGCTCGGTACCATGGTGCTATACAGAGAGCCGTTCATGACCGGGTGGGCTTATAAAAGTTTAACCGGCTCGGATTTGAGATTACCATTAGTGTCTGGGCACGGAAAGCGCGTAAGTATATTATCTGATGTTTAATTAGAGTTTTATATGGAATTAAATAGTTTGATTAACTATGTTGTTTGGAAAATAGAGCAGAGTAATGGGTACTATTGGAGTTACGAGAGGTTTTGGAGATCACGGCCTAAAAGCAGCTAACACCGGAGTTAGTATTAAGCCTTTTCTCTCGTCACAGCCGGAAGTACAGTACTTTCAATTAGAGGATTATCAATTAACTGAGCGAGACTGTATTATTATTGCCACTGACGGATTATGGGACGTTGTTTCTGATAAAGATGCTGGAAATATTTTTAGAAAAATTCTTGCTCCTGATACACCGTCTTTGGAGTATAGGTAATTTTATTATTTATCAAATCAGAGCTAAAAAATATTTTCTACTTTATAAAATATTGACTTATTTAATGATATAAGCTCATCTCGATGTTGCATTCATTGAGGACTTTCATTTGAGTACCCACATCAATTTTTCATATATTTTATATATTTATGTATATATGAATATATAAATATATGAAAAATATATGAAAATGCATGTGGGTACTTAAATGAAAGGTCTCGATGAGTGTAACATTGTGATGAGCTTATATCTTAAAAATCGTCAGTAATTAAGCAAGTACAGGGCAATTTAATAAATATCTTGTGAAATATTGACATTTTTAAAGATATAAGTTCATTCCGATGTTATACTCATCAAGACCTTTCATTTGAGTACCCACATCAATTTTTCATATATTTATATATATATTATATATATGTATATATGAAAAATATATGATAAATTGATGTGGGTACTCAAATGAAAGCTCTTAATGAGTATAACATCGGGATGAGCTTATATTTTGAAAAATGTCAATATTTAATAAAGTACAGTGCAATTTAACAAAAGTCATTATTTAATAAGGCAAAATTCTATTTATTTATAATGCAACTTGTAAATTTATTAATGAAAATAATAATTTATTATTTATAGATTGACAATGGCAGCACAAGAGCTAGTACAAGCAGCTCGAGGAAGATTAATCGGTAGAATGTGGAAAAGCAAACCCGATAAAGAAAAAGATAAAACTGAAAAAGACGAGGACATTGACGAAAGGTATTGGCCTATGGCGTCAGTTGACGACATCAGTGTAATGGTAATTCCACTGTATCCGTATTTATGCGAGCACAGACAGTGGAAGAAAACCGCTCAACAGGAACGACGATTTTCTATGGATAATTCAGTAGTTACATCACCCACTCTTTCTAATTAAATAAATTGTTATTGATAATAGTTTAACTAAATGATCATCATTTTTTATTAAATACGTAAATTTAATAATTCTTTCGATAATCTTAAAATCAAATAAATCTATAAATTTTTTTATTATTTTAATATCAGCGCTGATTTATTATTTCAATTTGACAGCTTTAGTGTTGTAAAGCTTTAAAAGCCAATCACTCTACTTAACGCAATTTATATTTATTAGACATTCCATTTATCAGGAAAAAAATACTTACGTTATTTTTTACAGAAAAAAAAATTTATAATTTATATTAATTAAATAAAATAAATAGAAATATTTAGCTCCGGTATTAATTTAATGCGTACATTATTTAATTGCTGTAAGCAATTAAACTCTCGATATTTTATTTTCAAGCTTACTTCTTTTTACTTATAAATTTGTAAATAATAATAAAATTAAAAATACTTTATTTTTCACTATGAAATGTATAAATAAAATGTTTGATTACCGTAAAATGTTAAATAATTTCGCTGTAATTCAAATAAATCACCAGACTTGATCTAATTTTTGTAAAACTATTTCTGTTTGTAAGATTTAAGCAACAGTGGAATTTTAGACGCTGGTTTTAATTTGTAAATACGCGACTGGTTGTATAAATATTTAAGTTGATTAATATTTTCTTGGGTAGAGACAGTGTTCGGAGAAATTGGGTTGATGCTCAAAAGTTCATCAGACTGACAGTCATTTCGACTGCTCAAATTATTCAACACTTTATCAATAAGAAGCATTATTACTTCCTGTACTTCATCCAGTGCTTCGTATTTTTCGCAATTAAAATTTCCATTCTGGATATTTAATTCATCTCTGGATATTTCTACTGGCAGATCATCAAATTCAAATGTGAATACGTAGACTTTTTTGTAGCCTTCACAGTGGATTACATAAGGAATTTGTTGACTTGGCTGCAATTAATAATTTTATTTATTTTACAAACTAAAAAATAATTTTTCAAATACATTTATTTTTTATTAATTAAATTATCTGCATTTAAAAATGCTCTATCTCTAAGTGCATAATTAAGAAATGACCTTTTATCTTGTAAAATATTGACATTTTTTAAGATCTAAGCTCATCCCGATGTTACACTCATCGAGACCTTTCATTTGAGTACTCACATCAATTTTTCATATATTTATATATTTATATATATATATATATATATATATTACATATATGTATATATGAAAAATATATGAAAAGTGCATGCGGGTACTCAAATGAAAGCTCTTGATGAGTGTAATATCAAGACGAGCTTATATCTTTAAAAATATCAATAGTTCAGAGAGTACAGTGCAATTTAACATAATTAAGAAACGACGTTGTATCTTGTGAACAATTGACATTTTTAAAGATCTAAGCTCATCTCGACGTTACACACATCGAGACCTTTCATTTGAGTACCCACATGGCATTTTTTGATATATTTTATATATTTCAC